GCCTTATGCATAAACTTGACCATACGTGTTCAAGATTTTCTCTGTGTCCTCTCAAATTTTGGGGATTTATAATAATTTTATATTTTTATATTTTATATTTTTACATTTTAGTAATTATTATTTTATTAATAAAATATAAATACATAATCATGATTGAACTTATAAAATTATTTATATAATTATTATTAAAAAATAAAAATACAAAATAACAATTAAAGCTCTACAAAATCTACGAGCACATGAAAAATCGATTAAAATGTAGGGTCAAACTTACGCAGCAGGGTTTTTATCATACGTACGCAATAGTTTTCTTAATTTGGCAAGGGACATTCTGCAAGCTGCTAATTTGGAGGGATCCATGGAAATGAATGACAAAAGAATAAAAGATTAGGCAAGAACAGATTTCTGTATTTTCGTATAGAAAATGACAATTGTTTCCTCCCAAGTGGATCGAGTCGTTTGTCTCTAAATATAAAATGAGGATGGCAAGGTCATATCAATCTAGAAGCCTGTAATTCAAGACACACTTGAATACGTTGCTGCTGCAAAGTGATGGGTAGGACTGTGGCGGTGTGTGCAGATGGATATGGAACTTGGAAAGTTCAATATTCATTTATTTAAAAGTTTTGAAATTTGAGTTAATCTTATAACACCTAATAAAAATACAATTTTAACTATTTTGTAAATATAGTAAACATATCTTTAAAATTAATTTATAATCTTGCTATTAATATATATATTATTATATATATACTATATATATATATAATGAGACCAGGGAGGGAAATATTTAAAAATTATCAAAAAAAATGCTCTCACTAAATTTAGAGAATGGATAAAAATATCCATTTAAAGATTTTAATTTTTCATTGGTTTAAAATAATAAATTAAGTCAATATGATTGGTTATATTGGTTTTCTATTTAAATCTAAATTAAATCTAAATTCTATTGATTAAAAATAAATTTTTTTAACAATATATAAATTAATTATAAATTTAACAACATGAAAAATTTAATATACCTGATTGAGAAGTTCTAAACCAATTGAAACTTTAAAATTGCGCCTATTTTAAAAGGTTTATTATATCTTAATTAAAATTATAATTTTATTGTAAAAGTTTTGTCTCATCTTAATTAGGGATTATATATTACTAATGTTAATTAAAATTATAATTTTATTGTAAAAGTTTTGTCTCATCTTAATTAGGGATTATATATTACTAATGTTAATTAAAATTATAATTTTATTGTAAAAGTTTTGTCTCATCTTAATTAGGAATTAGGGATTATATATTACTAATGTTAGAAACCATTCGCACGATGGACGAAGTAATATTAAATGATAAAATAATCTTTTATAACATCATTAAAAAATAATAAAATTGTATAATAAAATGATTGTGAAATGCATCTCATTTACAAAATTGTATCTCATTTAGTATGCTAAAAATGTTGTAATGTTAAAATGTATCTTCTTAAGTATCATGCGAAGTCTTTCATCAAGGCATGCAATAGCAAAAACAAGTCATGCATAATATGACCTGCATAAAAAAATTCATACACACTCTATTTCTACAAATGATAGTAAAACTTATAATAGTGTCATTTCTTATTTTCATTTTTGTTTCATCTTACTAGACATCTTTCGTAAACATTTGAGATTATACTTGATAATAATAATAATAATATATATATATATTAAGAATGAAAATACATATTGATATGCACAACTAATAAATTACTTGCATGAAATTTTATTTTTTTCCATTTTACATTTATGCTTCTAATATTTATCATTCTATAATCCAAAATAATGTACAATTAGCAAATTGTACGACTTACACGGTATAAGGTAAACTATTTATTTTTATATATTATATAGATATCACCACTTTTATCTATGCAGGTTTTGTTTACTTTCACTATGAAAGACTTTTTTTGACTTTTGTTATCAATGATTTATTATGGAGGGCACACCGATTACTCATCGCTCAACTTATTCTGGTCGATCATTGATTTATTAATTTTTATTTTTATTTATTTTAATTTGATATCAATATTGTTCGATGCGTTATTTATGTTATTTATTATCAATGGTAGTTTGTCTTTCAAATTCTCCACATTTCACTTTGTGTTTATGCATAAAATAATATTAAGACTAGTCATCATTTCATAGACACAATAAAAATACCTCAAATTTTACTGGTAATTTTCTTCTCCTAGTACTATAAACTTCTGACTTTAGTTAAAATATCACCACAATTTCAAATTGTATACAATTTTATGAATATATTATTTTCATTGGACCTATACTTTCTCTTATGGTCAGTTTAACCAAAAACTCAATATTTAACAGCACTCTAACTAATATTGATTAAAAATTTAAATTCATAAAAAGCTAAGTAAAATAATAAATTTTAGTTAGTTATAAATATTAATATTAGTTTAGGTAGTTGTTTTGCCATTTTTAAAGCATGAAATTTTGTTTATACTTAAGTTAGATTTCTTATAAAAATAGGCTTTAGTCATTACCATGTCATTTTATTTTTATGATGTTGTCAATATTATATAAATAAATAAAAGTATTTTATTTTTAAGTTGAATAAATTATTTTAACTTTTATTTATTTATAAGCAGTGCTAATGAGAAAAGAGTTTGATTTGGGGAGAAAAGATAAATTGGGTCACACAAAAATAATATTTTTATTTATTAAATTGAGTATAATTTAAAATTAAGGTGCTATCATAACTAAAATTTAAATTTAAGGTACTAAGAGAAGAAAGTTGGATTTAAGGCATAATTAAAACTAATGCAAAGATTGGGTTTTTTTCAATGATTTAGCCCATTTTATATGTCTAATTTTGAACTTTCCCGGTCACAAATGTTGGTTTTTTGTTTTTTTTATTAACATCACAATATTTTATTTTTTAATAAAAGAATCATTATTTTTATTAGAAATCATTATTTATTATTCTTATTATTAAGTAAATATTTCTTATTTTATAATGAAATTAAATTTTGTTATTGTTATGAATGTTTTTTCCAATTTTCGATCTATACATTTTTTATTGAAGTTATATAGAAAAGAACATGAATATGGAAAAAAAAATCAAATTATATTAAATATTGTATTTAATTATCAATTTTGCTATATAATTTTATTTATATTTCTAGTTATTATATTTGATTGTCTTTTATTGAAAATTAAAATAACAATGAGTATCATTTTTGGTAAATAATAAAAAATTGTAAATTATATAACGAGTACCTATAATAAAAGCAACACATGTAAAAACTAAAATGAATGTTAATTAATATTTGAGATAATGTTTCATGGACAAATTTGTTTGGTTATTTGATCCATTGGAAGGCCCAATGAACTGTAGGCTATACAACAGGAATAGCTCATCCCTCAATTCACCAAATTATTGAAAGCATTTGTGGCCGAGAAGACTCATATTCTAAAACTTTCATTCCTTATATAAGTAAGAAAGTCCAATAAAACCACACTTGATTGGCGTAGATAATAATATTGGAGAATTTTTTTTACCTCTCAATTTTCTTGTGGTAATTATATTAGAGCAAATTACGGTAACATCAGAGATACTCTTATCCTTTTATTTTAGCTTTGAAATTTGCTTTTCGTTAAAATTTTTTTTTTCTTTTTGAGGGATTTTAAAATCAAAATTTGAAGACGACAATGTAAAGGACTAAACCAGTAAAATAACATCTCCCTTTGTTCGGACTTAATGGGCTGGGCCCATCTTCAAACATAAACAACAACCACAAGCCCATCTAAATGATTGGGTCTGCTCTACGTTGGTTAAGTAGAACCGTTTACAAAATTGGGTATTGTCAAAAACCATAACATTGTCAAAAGCCCCAACATTTTATGGTTTTTGAGTTTCAGCTTCACTGATTACCTCCCTGCAAGAATTCCCCCATCTATTTTACTATATTATAATCATCTTTCTGGTTGACGGGAAAGTGAGGTGGGAAAAAAAAAAAAGAGTTATTTATTTTATAAGAGTTCTATTATAGATTTATTTTATAAATTTATAAATTAATAGTGAGTACCACGTCGTGCTTACAATGTATCGAGCGTCCTGGCAGGGGTGGCCACGGTTCCGAAATTACTGGTTTCGGTTCTGAAATCGACGGTTCTGGTTCTAAAAAATTTAGATGCGGATCCGAATCGAAAATTGACGGTTCTGATTACGGTTTGGAACCGAACATTTACAGATTCGATTCTGGTTCCTTAACGGTTTCAAATCAATGGTTCCAGCCGGTTTTTCGATTGATTTTTCCTGCATTATAAAATCAAAAGTTATGAAACAAATTTTTTTTTTTTGAAAATTTAAAATTTAAATATTTATGAAATAATTTTTAGAAAAAATTAAAAAAAAAACTTAACTTAATTTATTTATTAAAAAAAAAGACTTGAATTTTTTTTTTTAGAAAAAGGGCTTGAACTTAAATTTTTTTTTTTTAAAAAGGCTTTAACTTAATTTATTTTTTTAAAATGAAAAAGGGGTATTTATAATAAATCCAAAAAATCAATTTTTCACAAATACCTTTAAAACCAGCAGTTATATAGTTATTAGGAGAGTTAATTTTAGGATTTCATAAAAATATTTGAAAAAATAAAAAAAAGTTATTGAAACTCGGTGGAACTGCCAGCTCGAACTGTCGAGACCACCGGTTTTAACCGATTGGAAAAACCACCGGTTCCAGCTGGTTTCGACTGGTTCTTAGAACCGTCGGTTCATAGTTTCTCAAAATTTGAAATCGGAATCTAACTGTAGACTCCCAGTTCCTATTCAGATTGATTTCGGTTCTTCACGGGTTTAGTTTCGGTTTCCACCAGTTTCGAACCAGCGGTTCCGGTTCTAAAAACCGGAAAATGGCCACACTCTTCGTTTCCAGGCAAAAAGGAAAAAAAAAAAGAGATAATTTTCATTTTTCTATTTTTTCACTATAAATACACACGTTGATGTAGAGTGATAAAGCAGCAACGTTGATGTAGAGTGATAAAGCAGCAAAAGAAATGCCAGCAGCTATCCTGTCTCCATCATCAGCTTCCAGAATTTTCACCTCGACAACTCTTCTTAAACCCTCTACTGCATCTTCTCTTCTACGGACACTCTCTCCTTCTCTCTCCGCTTCCCGCTTTCAAGTTCGTGCAATGGCTGACTCTGCTTCTGCTCTTTTCAAGAAAATCCAAATCCAGAGAGAAGATTCTTAAACCCAACTCTTCTTAAACCCTCTACTGCATCTTCTCTTCTACGGACACTCTCTCCTTCTCTCTCCGCTTCCCGCTTTCAAGTTCGTGCAATGGCTGACTCTGCTTCTGCTCTTTTCAAGAAAATCCAAATCCAGAGAGAAGATACTGTAAGTTTTTTTGTTTTTATATATTATTTTTCTTTTGTCTTTTATTTTTTGTTAGTGATTTTTGCGGAAGGGCTTGTTTGTTTTGGGAGGTTTTCGTTAAAAGGTTTGTGTTTTCAATCAACGTGGAAATTGGGTTTTCTTCTGATTTTCGGATACTGATTAAAAGTGCAGAATTCTATTTTTTATCCCATTGTTTTGAAGGCGATCGATTGTTTAGTTTCAGTGATTTTGAAGAAGAAATCATTTGGATCACTCTTGTGTTGTGTAATTGACAAATTGACTGTTAGTGGGTAACCACTTGACCTTGCATTAGCCATACAATTAAAATATTAAAGGACAATAAATTATGGGAATTTATAATTACACTGTAAACATTAGCAGCAGTTTGGGTTTCTGATGGCATATACAAAAGCACACACAAACATAACTCAATCCTGGTTGAATGCTTGTTGGAACTAAATTATTGATGGTGTGCTACTTTCTTTTCGTTTTCTTGAATCTTTTTTTATTAGACATTTGATGCATATGTGGTGGGCAAAGAAGATGCACCTGGGATTGTAGTGCTTCAAGATTGGAACTAAATTATTGATGGTGTGCTACTTTCTTTTCGTTTTCTTGAATCTTTTTTTATTAGACATTTGATGCATATGTGGTGGGCAAAGAAGATGCACCTGGGATTGTAGTGCTTCAAGAATGGTGGGGTGTTGATTTTGAGATCAAGAACCATGCTGTAAAAATCTCCCAATTGGAGCCTGGATATAGGGCGCTTATCCCTGAGTAAGCATTTGATAATCATTTATTTTGTATCTTACTTCAATGACAACATATTGTTTTCGAGATATGTTTGTCGCATCTTAATGTCAAATATTTTTAACTTCATGTTTCAGTTTGTACCGGGGAAAGGTAGGCTTGGATGTTGCTGAAGCGCAACATTTGATGGAAGGTCTTGACTGGCAAGGTGCTGTTAAGGATATACGTGCTTCAGTTAATTGGCTCAAGGCTAACGGTTCAAAGAAGGTTTGGCACATCCAGTTCTTTGCTGTTAGAATCATGGATTCTGGAATGCTTTTATGCCAATTGCCTGATCATGCTCATTAGATATCTACTGTTCTGTTTTGTCCCATTTCTACGCTATGCCCAACATCTATAATTCCATGTGGTGGTTTTTAAAGAAATTTAGCGGACATAATCTTTAATTTATTAATTTTAAGTTTTAACACTAGCGCAACATTCTAATTTATGGGAGCAATCTTGAACTTCATGCAACACTTAATTGTGCATAGATCCCAGATGCCCAGGTACGTGTTTGTGTAAATGGCTTGTCTTACTGTTGAAGTTAATTGTGAAATAGTATTATGACTGAAGTTGGAAACATGCTAGTTTATCTTCTTATTGATAATAAGTGCGACTGGGTATTGCAGGCTTAAATCTTTCTTTAATTATTAAGGTATACCTTGAACAACACTTCATGATTGGACGGCTCCGACCTTAGAATTGCTAGGCCACTCTTTTAGTGTTTAGATATTTTATAGGTTATTAGAGGATGAGAAAAGGAGGCTTTTTTCCGTAGTAGGAGGGGAATAGGTGATGAGCTAGTGGGATTTTTTTTTTGAACTATAATTTTGTTTTCTCCAATATCTTGTAGCAATGAGATTGCGTTTCTTCAAGTTGATGCTTCCTTAAAAATTCGATGTCAATTTTTGTGATTCTTTTCTTGAATCTTTCTACTTTACAATGCTGAAGTTTTATATTGTTAATTGGTCTAGTGAGTTATTACATTTGTTTTGCTAAGTAATCTTTGGATCAACTCCAACAGGTAGGAGTAACTGGGTTTTGCATGGGAGGTGCTCTTTCCATCGCAAGTTCTGTTTTGGTCCCTGAGGTTGATGCTGTTGTCGCATTTTATGGTGTTCCTTCATCAGAGCTTGCTGACCCTGCCCAGGCTAAGGCACCTATTCAAGCTCATTTTGGAGAGCTTGATAATTTTGTTGGGTTTTCAGATGTTACGGTATGGGATCTTTTCCTTCATTAATTTTTAACCTTTACTGGTTGCAATACTGCAATATATTTTATTTCCTTTTGGAATACATTATTTTTAAGTACGTTAGAAAATGAGAGCTTCAGCATCTAGGTATTATAGTAATGTTGTACTTAAACTTTAGTGCATGAACGTGGACATTGCTCCCTGAATGAATTTTTGCTTCTGATATTCATTCTTCAGGCTCAATTATAAGGAAACACACTAAAACTGAATCCTTTAAGTAGTGAAAGCTTGCATGCAAACCCCTCTTAATTATGAACCACCATAAAATTGAATGTAAACTGATATGAGTCCGCCTCTGGTTGGTTCAGCTGCATCATGTCTCTTCCTGTTTTTCTTGTTTTTCACTTTGTTCATCTGAGTTCAGTTGGATCTCTGCATTATCATGCCTTGCACCAAACCAAGGCATTTAAGACTAGTTGCATGTTCCCACAGGAAGGGATTCCATGATAAGGGAATATAGGTGCAAAGTGGCCTTTTTTTTTCCCTTCCCCTTTTCCCCTTCTCAGTTTGAAACGATGAAATTCAAGTGTAATGTCCTATAGGAGCCTAACTAACTGCTTGTGTTGTCCATACACGATATCAGTATCAGCAACCAATTTTCAATTTCAATTATATCTGAAAGCTCTAGCTCTATGTATCTTCCTTTATTTTTCCAATTTTATAGTGCCGCCTAAAAATGATAGACAGTCATGTAATGTACTTGATTAGTCTTAAGTTCTGGGCTTATAAACACTGTCTTTATTGTGTTTGATATAACCAACAAGGATCACTATTGTCATCTTGATTGAATGTCTTCATTTTCCTTCCCTGTTAGATAACCAAGTTTATGCTTGACTCGTGGAAAATCTCATTGGAGTGTCACTTCATTTTGAATGATTTGGGTATTTTTTTTTTATGCCTTAGATAATTGGAAAATGGAGTATTAACAAAACTAATTAATGTTCAGAAGCAATTTGAAACATTGACTAAGGGCAAGTTTGGTATTGTCATTGTCAATAGCTGAATTTAGATAAAAAATTAGGAAGAATTCTCATTGCCTAATGAATAATGCATTTTTCTAACATTGGTTTTATGGGCTTAAAATTAATTTTGGGAAAAGTTTCAAATATGAGTTTTTTCCAAAATCAGCTTTGGATGCATAGAAAACCGTATTGCAAAAAGCTATATGCGTTTGGACCAACAAGATTATTCGTAATTTTTGCCCAAAATATGCTGTTAACAATAGCATTACCAAACTGGCTCTAAACAAAGTTGCCTTGCATCCTTGTCCTTTTTCTTTTTCGCTGAAATCTTCCATCCTTGTCTTGCCTGGGAGACACCAAAGGTGTGTATATACCCTTTGCATATATCTATACTGGTTTATATATGTCTAACATTGAAAGTTAGACATGTCAGTGTGCATATATCTATACTGGTTATTGCCATGAAGAAAGAAATAATAAATTTACTAATGCTGTAACTGAATTTTAATTTTTCAGGCTGCCAAGGCTTTGGAGGAAAAGCTGAAAGCATCTGGAATTCCTTATGAGGTACACATTTATCCGGGCAGTGCACATGCTTTCATGAACAGATCTGAAGAAGGTATTAAGAGGAGGAAGGGCATGGGAATGCCCGATGACAATGAAGCTGCTGCTCAGCTGGCATGGTCTCGTTTCAGCTCATGGATGGGTCGTTATTTATCGGCATAACTAATTGGTTAGTATGGTTTATAAATTTTACCAAATTATAAGACTAAATAATAATTCAACATTTTTTTTATGTAATACATAATATATATATATATATACTAAAAGATTTTTAAAAATTTCTCCAGGCATACGCCATTGAGTACTGGCATTGAATGTCAAGTTGGTAGGAAGGCCCAAGTATTTTACCCAAGTGTGTTTCAATGCGAACTTTGAGGACTTGTTATATTTATGAAATGAGTTAGTTTGCTTGTAATAACGAGCCGGTGTCAGCTTGCATTGCCATTTGATATGGACTTCGAATAATTTCTGGATGTATATATGCTAAAAACTGTTAAATCTGCAAGAATGGTTGTCACCATTTCTGTGCATGATTCTGAAAGTAAAGACAATGTGTTCTTATGCAAGGTTTGATAATGGGCAATGCTGGTGGGCATAAATTAAGTATATTTGAAGCTCAAGAATACAGAAATATATTTAGAAAATAAAGATTTAAAGCTGATCATAGGTTTTTTTATGCACTTGTAAAGGATATTCAGGCTTGTTTTTGAAGATACCTATGGTGAAAGGCATTTATAGTCAAAACATTATTAAATGCATGTTAGTGTTGCAACGAATAGTCATTCTCTAGCTAGGTTGGGATTATTACTGGGAAATCTATTGACTTGAGATTATTACTGGAGTTTGATAAGTTTTTCCTTATTTCTAATAAAATTTATTTATTTTGCTCATAAAAAAAAAAAAAAAAAAAATTGAGATCTATTACCTTGGAGTTTGAGTAAGTTTTTCCCTTTAGGTCTCTAATGAAAATTTATTTATTTTGCTCACCTAAAAAAAAAAAAAAAAAAAAACAGGTGTTTCCAGGAATAAAAAAAAAAAAAAAAAAAAAAAAGTGTTTCAGGGAATAGTTTTAAGTTTTGCATAAGAGGTTTACGACATCCAACTATAAAATTAGACAGTCTCAAAATAACCATACTTGTATCTGAAAATTAGATTTTTTTTTTTATATATGAGGGAATTTTGCACTAAAAAGAAAAAGTGAAGTAAATTTTTTTAGCTATGCTATTCATTTTTTATATATAAAAGTAAATTATTATTTCGTTTTATACTCTTATTTTTAAAATTTAAAATTTTATTTCAGATATATTATTTAATCTTTCATTATTTTAAAAATTAAATTATGAAAATTAGGGTCTTAATTAGTGTACTTTAGGTATTTTGTATATAGCTAGAACGCTCTCCACAAATTGCAAATACTAGTTTATTAAAAATATATTGTTATGAATTATTTTTCTATAGAGAAATTCTCAACGTTAATAAACTGAGTAATTAACTATTTCAAGGGTTTTTATATATCATATGACTATCAAATGCATTCCATTATGTGCATATAATCTTTTTAAGAAACTTTTAGCAATTCATTAATAAAAAAAAAAATGTAATTTGAGTATATAATGATATTTCTATAGAAATAAGAAATATAAATATAAAAATACACTGTTTTTTTTTTTTTTTTGATCCAGTGAAAGAAATCAGTCTTCTGAGTAAAAATCGTTAATAATCTAACTGTATTTGAACCTTCAACTTTTTTTTTTTTTTATTTAAATTTTACCTTAAAAAAAATTCTACAAAAAGGAAAGACAAGGCATTAAATCAAAATCAGAGTCCCAACCCAAGATTTATACCAACTAATACAAAACTACCGACTTCTTATTTGGACCCAAAGATTCAATGGACAGATTTTTAATTTGTCGTAAAGAGATGACTTATTGACTCAACAAGTCCAAATAGAAAATTCATGGGGCTAAAATTTTTGGAAATTTACTTACATGTCTTTGATGGATAGCAAACTTGAAAAAGGACAATAATTTAGAACCTTCTTTACATGTAAGAAATGTCTTCTCCCTGAAATCTTTATGGTCAAGGTTTTCTGAAATTTCTCAACAAACTTTAAATCATTCATTTTCAATTCTACCTGTGTTCATATTCCAAGTTTGAAGAATACAATTGGTTCATGATGACCTTTTCTGAAAGTAAGAAATCCTATGATAAAATCCGGTTTGAATAATGTAACACTGATGATCTTTGAAAAATATCAACAAAACCCATAAAGAAGGAAACCTTTTTTATTTATCTTGATCAAAAAGCTCTTTGAAAAATATCAACAAAACCCATAAAGAAGGAAACCTTTTTTATTTATCTTGATCAAAAAGCATCTTGCCTTTTATTTTATTTTCTTTCTTTTATTCCTTAAGAGGTTGGATGCCAAAATAATAATATTATAAATTATATAATACGAGTATTCTCCTTTAACTCAACAAATTAATTAATAAAAATTCTTCGTAATATTTCTTACTCCCTATTAATTTTTAGACCTGGTACCCAAAATAAAAAAAAAAAGAAGTTGAATTTTCCTTTGACCACCCAATTTCTTTAATTTCAATAAATTTAAAAATGAGCATTCAGTCCGATCCAATCAAATTAGCTCTGTCCAAATAATTAAATATTAAAATTATAAACTAAATCCAACGCAATCAAACTAAAATATTTTGCTTTTATTGATAGATAATGAAAGTCAACCAAAATTATTAAAATTAATATATTTCTAAATCAATCAATTCAATTGGAAAATCCAACGGACAAAAAAAAAAAAAAAAAAAAAAAAAAAAAAAAAAAAAAAAAAAAAAAAAAAAGCTAAGATAACAATTTTATTTCGCACAATTAATGCCTTTTTATACAGTTTCACTCTATTATTAGCAAACTTAACTTGTGGAAGATAACCTGTCTGGGGTACCAAGTGGGCTACTCTTCTTTGGAAGATAACCTGATGTAACAATTTTCAAAAACAAAATACATTTGGTAATAATAAATGGGAAAGCAAATGTATTAAAAATTCAAACTTTGTTAGTTATTCAATAAAAAAGTATTTTTCTATTTTTTTTAAATAAATTTAGCTCCAATTAGGCTTAAACTTGTAAGTTCAAAACTCCTTTTTTCATTTGAAGAATGTGATTTCAAACTTCAAAGTTATGTTTTCGCATATTATATTTTTAAATTTTTATTTTAAAAATTAAATCAGAGTAAGCATAGTCCTTTTTTCTGCATGTTTAATGCAGCATTTCTGTTGCAATGTGAAGCCGTAATTTTGGGATTTATGTATTATATATATATATATAATAGACAACCTAACCAATCCCTTGGACTGCATTCTAGCTTTTTAAGTTCAGTCCAAACTAAAAAATTCAAATAAAAATATCAATTTTTTCAAACAACAGGATAATATTACACTTGCTCGGTCAAAAGCATGTCATCCCGGAATAAAGTTCAATTTGGTTTCTAAACTTATTTAGTAGAATAAAAAAAAATTAGATTTGATATTTTGGATCAATTTAGCCCTTAAATTTATATAAAATAATTAAAAAATATCCGATTTCACTTTTTAATCTAATTTAATCCTTAAACTTATTTTGATTTTTATAAATTAATAATTGATTTAATTTAATATGATTGATTTTTTATTTCAGATCAAACTTACCTAACTCTCATGAATATAAATTTAAAGTTCATAATATCATTTCTTGTAATATGATAAATTTATAAACATGCATTATAACCTTAATTTATTCAGCATGAAAAATGCATAGATTTCATAAGCGATAACCTAGTAATAGAGACTGATTTTAAAATGTTCAAATTAATACATATTCATAAACTCAAAACCTTCAATCAAAGTAAAGAGAGATACAATACGTTCATATATTATTTTTCTATATTTTATAATTAATTAATTTTTTAATAAATTAGTCAACTCGATCCTAACTATAATTTTAATATCTATATAATGATTTTCACATTGTAAACCTCGTTAATTTTTTAATAAATTAGTCAACTCGATCCTAACTATAATTTTAATATCTATATAATGATTTTCACATTGTAAGTACAACGAAGAATTAAAGGTTAAATTGACTCAAAATGTCAAATATGATTTTTTTTAATCATTTTAAATAAATTTAGGAGTTAAACTGACCTAAAAAGTGAAATGAGATCTTTTTAATAATTTTATATAAGTTCAAATCTGACTTTTTTTATCCTGCTAAATAAGTTCAGAACCTGGGTAAAAAAAAATTGATAAAGTAGGATTTGATTCTAAATCGGTGCATTAGAAATATCTTTTATGTAATAAAAAAAGAAAAATAGTCCATAGATATACATAATTTATTATAATTACAATAATTTTGCATGTTTTTCTTGTGCTAGAAGCAGCTAGAATACAAGAGTATAGTTTGCCACATGTTTGATGAGTTCCTTGAAATCATAGGCTGGTAGGTACATGTGAACTGGATTTCTTTCTCACTTGATTTTTCGTCAAATACATAATTTAATCTCCTAAATTTACAAAAAAAAAAAAAAAAAAAAAAAAAAAAAAAAAAAAGACAATTTTAAAAAAAAAAAAAAAAAAAAAAAAAAAAAAAAAAAAAAGAGAAATCTTATGACACCTAATGAGCCACTAAATTTCATTTTTTTTTAATTTTATAACTCTTGAATTTCTTTTTTTTTTTTTTGCCACTTCGGGTAAAGCTAATTTTACTTTTCAATAGATGAGTTACAAATTATCACAAAAAGTGAATTCAATAAGTAGGATACATGCTTGAAATATATATATACTCTTAATTTATCAATCACTTCATTTATTTATTTATTGGAATTGAAAATAGTTGTCACAACTCTTTAAGAGTTTAGTGTGACAAAAAAAAAAGAAAAATCAAAAAATACATACATAATATATTCATCCACATTATAATTAATAATAAGAGTAGTCAACTTTGAGATATTTTTATACTATTATCTCTATTCTATAACACTTGTCGCATTTGAAATTTCACGTCTTTTAAAAAAATTATTAAATTTATCTAAATTACAATAAATTATTGAGTAAATGGATTGTATTACCCTTAATTTAATACCAATTCTCTAAAAAAATCATTAAATTGAAGTAATAATTATTGCTCATATACAAAGGATAAACATGGAAAAAATGATTTATTACTCTTTAAAACCACAAATGTGAAAATCCATCTGTCCCAAAATGATAGTCTATCTTTCCTTATTGGTTTGTCCCAAAATATAGTCCATCTTCATTTTTTTCATTATAGTTAATTCTTGAATTGTCTATTATATTCTTATTAAATTTACTTATTTTCAATAACCATCATTAATTCTTAGTTATTTTTCCAATATAATAATTACTCATGTATTATTTAAGATGGGTATAATAAGAAAGTTATATGAGTAAATTATCCTTTAATAATATTTTTTTATTCTGTGTGAAAATAGAAAGTGAATTATTTTTCTGGAACGAATGGAGTAAGTATTTTGAAATTTTTTTTTTTCAAATATGAAAAATACTATGCAACGGAGATAACGGTTCCTTTTATATTTTATATTAACGAAGATTCAAAATGCAAATTTATTAGTAGCATTCCTTCCAAACTCTCTTCTTAATTATTATAATTA